TCCAGGTCATTGATGAACAAGTTGAACAAGACTGGGCCAAGTACTGAGCCCTGAGGAACTCCACTGACTAACAGCCTTCAACTGGACTCTGCCCCGCTGATCAGAACCCTCTGAGCCCTGCCATTCAGCCAGTTCCCAATCCACCTCACTGTCCACTCATCCAACCCATACTTCTTGAGCTTCCCTATGAGGGTGTTATGGGAGACAGTGTCAAAAGCTTTGCTGAAGTCAAGGTAGGCAACATCCACCGCTCTCCCCTCATCTACCCAGCCGGTCATGCCATCATAGAAGGCTATCAGATTGGTCAGGCATGATTTCCCCTTGGTGAATCCGTGCTGGGTACTCCCGGTGATCTTTTTTTCATCCACTTGCTTGGAGAGGACACTCAGAATGAGTTGTTCCATCACCTTTCCAGGGACAGAGGTGAGACTAACCGGCCTGTAGTTCCCTGGGTCCTCCTTCTTGCCCTTTTTGAAGACTGGAGTGACATTGGCTATCTTCCAGTCATCAGGCACCTCTCCTGTTCTCCACGACCTTTCATAGATGATGGAGAGTGGCTCAGCAATGTCATCTGCCAGTTCCTTCAGCACTCGCGGGTGCATTCCATCGGGGCCCATGGACTTGTGGGTGTCCAGTTTCCTTAAAAGATCCCTAACCTGACCCACATCGACAGAGGGAAGGTCGTCCTTTCTCCAAGCTTGCTCGCTACCTGCCAGGACTGGGGAGCCTGAGGGCCAGCCTCGACAGTGAAGACTGAAGCAAAGAAGGCATTCAGTAGCTCCGCCTTCTCTGTATCTTCTGTCACCAGGGCACCCATTTCATTCAGCAGCGGTCCCACATTACCCCTGGTCTTACGTTTACTGCTGACATACTTGAAGAAGCCCTTCTTGTTATCCTTGATAAATTAGTCTGGGTCAGTTGGGATTTTAGGCTGGTGATGGCGGTGAGTAGTCTGGACTGCGGTGCTACAGTGTGCGTAAAAGGTGTTGAGAGCCAAGGTGCACAGGCAGAGTTAAAACACCCACAGAACATGGTGAGTAGGGGAGGAGATAGGAAAACAACCCGCGGGCTGCTCTTGGTTGGAAAATGCACAGGGAAGGGATATCAAGGCTGTAACCAAAATGATGATGAAATTGTTATGTATCTTAGTTTTCAGCATTGGGGTGATGGGATGGAATCAGTTAACTACAAAATGCAACCATGAATGCTGCTATGTTCTCTTCTGTACAGCCCTACCCAACTGAACACTAAGACAATGAGAACAGTATATGGTCTGTAGTTTTAAGGTCATTATTAATGTAGCTGAAGCTATAGACAGTATGCATCTGTCAGGGGAAGAAGATGAAGGGTAATTCCATGCAACAGACCAAGAAAGTTGGCTAGGACTACCAAGATAGAGAGCCCAGTAGGTAGGAGACAATTCCGGCAGGGGGAGATCGCGACCACCGACTCATTGACCACCTACCCAAATGGTACCACCTACTCAAAAGAGAACAATAGAAGTGAACAACTGAGTTTGCGCAGTAATTTACATAGGAAGCGAGAGAATTTGTACCAATCATTAGAGAGAATGTTATTGATTATGTATGTATGTAATGAATGTGTATATATTTGATTTATATAACCTGACTGAAACAGGTGCCAGGTATGCACGTTAGGTGGAGCGATCCCCCATGCATCCGGCGCCGTGAATAAAGAATGCCTGCCTTTTAACACTACACTGGTGTTACGAGGTTTATTCCTCCCGATTTTGGTGACAAGGCCAGGTTGGATGGGGCTCTGAGCAACCTGATCTAGTTAGTGGTATCCCTGCTCACTGCGGGGGGTTGGGCTAGATGACCTCTAGGGGTCCCTTCCAACCCAAAACATTCTACAGTTCTATGATTCTGTGATCCAGAGAGAGGCCTGTGTCAGTGGGCTGGTCCAAGGGCTCGGAGAGAGCAGTGCTCTGACACAGCCCAGAAATGGAAAAACAGTTGGATAAAGGACACCTCCCATTGCTGCTGGATAGCGTGTGCACCCTGGGGAGGTTTGTTGTAACGGATTTGGCCAAAACAACTCATGAAGGTGCGGTTGCTGTATCTGTGCTATGCTGTGGAGCAGCAGCTAAAGCAGCCTTGGGGCCTGCTGAGTTGCTTGTGTGTGTTGTCAGCCTGATGGAGCATCCTTGAGGCGTACATGGGACTGGAAGGTGTGTCCAGTGCTTTTGAGTTTTCCCCAGAGAGTGCTTAAACTGAAGTTTGAGCAAGACAGACCTATTAACCTAGCCAAGCACAGGAGAGCTTGTCAAAGACCTTCCTTGTAAGAGCCCTGACGCTGCTTGCGTTCAGGCCGGAGTGATTTCTGGGTAGGCAGAGTCCAGAGAAAAAGCAGGCTGCCTACAGTAAGCAATACAGAATTCAGAGCAATTCAGATCTATATAGGTGCAGGCCTGGAGAGTTTATGCAAATAGTATGAACAGGCAAGTTCAGCTCTGGAGACTGCAAGCCTATTGTCCAAAAATGCAGGGTCTAGTGACGTGAGGGCTAAGCATTCACTGCACACACATGATCCCAGGACGGACTTTGGGAAAAGAAAGCAGCCCTGAATTTCTCTTGCATATGGATTTTCATGCCTGTATACTGAGTTAGATTTGTGATGGAGAGGACTATGCAGAGTCTAAGTGACCGTATTTTCTCGCATTTCTATTTGGATGATGTGAACTGCTCCTGGTTTAGCCTGGTTTTACCTTATTATCTGTCCTGAACTTACCCTAGCCTGAACTTACCCTAGCCTCAGACAGCTACCATAGGTGAACCTCTCTAAGTCTGGCTCTGCCAATGTCCAAGTATCCCTGACTTTAAATGCAAAACCAGCCCTCGCTCCAGTTCTGAAAGGTGAGACTGTAACTCTGGATCCTCGTGATTTTGAACTCTGAAGCTTTCAAACTGCAACCTGTTTTAATTTTATTCCCTGTGAGAGCAGAATGCAGATTTCACAGCCTCAGAATATTTTTGCAAAATTGATTTCTTGCTTTTCAGTTACAATAAAATACGTTAGGCTCTCTCAGACATCTGCTTCGCTGTAGAAGTCCAGGGATGCTCAAGTTCCATCTTAAAATAAAAAGTGCAGACTGAAAAAGAAGATTGCTAGAAGAAGATTTCTTAGAAGAAGTTCTCACTGAAATAGTAAAGTTTGAGAGCCATGATTTAGGACATCTGTGAGTAAAAATGCATTTTTCAGCCACCACCAGCAGCTGTGGGTTGTCTGAACTCACCTCTCTGTGCTCTTCCCAGAGGCCGCTCTCTCACAGTTAGTATGCTGCAATCTGACAGGAGGCTGTAGTGAGGTGGGGGTCGGTCTCTTCTCCCAGGTAACGGGTGATAGGACGAGGGGAAATGGTCTGAAGTTGTACCAGGGCAGGTTTAGATTGTACATTAGGAAAAATTTCTTCACTGAAAGGGTCGTCAGGCATTGGAACAGGCTGCCCAGGGAAGTGGTGGAGTCCCCATCCCTGGAGGGATTTAA